CATTGAAAAGAAGCGGTCAGGGGTTCCGGATCAAATGTTTTGTTGGGCCCTTCATCACATATGAACACACATACCCAGATATAAACTGTATATCGCTATTTTCAATTGATGAAGGTTGAAAGAATTGTTGCTGTATCCAAAGAATCAAACCACCAGGAATTTAACAGATTACATGAAATATTGTGTTGTTCGTGAAATTAGTTTGAAAAGATGTTGAGGTTGACAGAATTGGTCGAATCAGAGGGTTATGGGAGGTCTGTCTTTATATCACACGAAACACTGGGAAGATGCTATCAATAACGTTAAAGCCCAAATGAATACAGTTTTATTGTAATATCAGGATGCATTCTTATCCAAATTTGACTTTTTTTTTAAAATGTCTACACAACAGGAATAAATGCAATTTGTACTGTGCCACTGATGCAGCAGCTTGTGAACTTCATGTGAACTAATACCCCATCTTTATACTATTTAGACCTGGGGCTGCAATCTGGTTGGATTTTGGATTCAGTTCCCGGTTGTCCAAAATACCCAGATTCCCCGAGCTCTGATTGTCGCTGATCTTTATCTCTCCCCACTCAGATACTGTATAAGCAAGGTACAACAAGGCGTCAAATCATTTGGTAGGTTCATTTTCAGCTGTTGCTGACCATTGCTTTAACTGTTTAAAATGACCAATGTTTCAAGTGGCCGTCAATATGAGCTTTAGCTAATGATCTGCACACTCATCTGTTTATTGAGGTGATAATATGAAGTGGGGAAGCCACTGGAGTCTTAACTGAAGCCAATACAACACGTCTTAGATAACATATAAGCTCTGACGTGCAGTCAAGGGAGACATAGTCAAACATGTCAACTGTAACTAAATAGATTCAATAAAGGATACAAAAGGTTTACAATTTGATAAGCGGATCTACTCATCTCATTGTACTGGTATAATGACAATAAAGGATTCTATTCTATGTGACACTAGATTCAGACTCCATAAAATAGGCTACTGAACCTCTATTTTAATACACATAACCAAACAGCCTACTTTCATCTGATCTTTTTCATGTGTAAAGTACTTTGTAGTCATACTGGGTTGATATTGTACTTTGCAGCTATAGTAATCAGTATCACAATATTCCTTGTAAATTTGGTGTGAGAGGCAGGGACATGTGTTAAACTGGCAAATCCTCTCATTTGGAGAGGAAACCGAGTGCAATACATTAACTTTCAGAGTATCTAAGGCCACAGTAGGCCATGAACTGTACTTCAAATAATGCATGCAATGAAATAAAAATGCCTTTGCTAAATAATCATTTAGAAGCTTCACGTCAAATCAGGGATTTCTCTTCACTTTCCCGACTAGTGTTTACAATAGAAATTAATAGAAATAATGGTGGCTATAGTCTCCCCACTATATATATCTTTGTTTCTTTTTTCCTATTGTTGTCTGTTCATTTCTTTGGCATTTACATACTGCTAGCTGAAATTAAACTGGGCTGAAAAGGTTATTTTGAAACTGGTCTTGTGTCAGTGTGGCCATGTCTGGGTCTGCTTGAGTCTACAGTGCAGTAAAACCAGGCGTCACCACGGTGCAGTCTGCTGACCTCCCCCTCCCCCCCTTAATATCCCGAGTCGCTCCAGAGGCACAACCACTCTACTGCAGTCTGCAGATTCTTCGAAAATATTGACTTATTCATAGATTCTGGAGAGTCGGCAGTGGAGGTGGGCCTTGAATGTATGACAGACCATAATAACCAACCACAACTTGAGTTATAGCCGCTGATGACCCATCAGATCTGTACCAGATCGACCGCCAGCCAAAGCTGGTCCAAACCTTTCTCTCTTTAAATGGTTTGAGCAGCTCGGAAATTAAATGTGTCTCATAAAATGTGAATTCCACAAGCCAATGGCACGTGTCATAGGAACCTCACATACCTGAAGGTATACAGTGTATTAAGGGTGTTATTCTGTAAATCATCAAATCTATACGGAATACTTAAAAACTCATTTGACGCTCATGCCTGGTTTTCATGTGTGTTATTTTGTTAACATTTAATGTTTAGTATTCTTAAAGTGTGCATTTTTTATTGAATTGAAGCAATGGTTGGTATACTGATCTTGTGTTTTATATCATTTAGATTTGTAACATTATTTAGGTAGAGGCTTTAAATAAGCCCAATTGGTTTTTTGCCTTTTCCTTCACTGTTTGTCATTTGTTATCAGTTATGTTTGTGTATTATTAAATTGTGCAAAACCATTAAAACTTTAAACCTTAATCCTAAAGTCACCTTGAAGGTAGCTGGCAGTGATCTGTCCATTCCATGTATCTATCGTCTATTCAAGTTATTTAATAATAATAATAATAATACATTTAATTTCAAAGTGCTTTTTCAGGTGCTCAAAGATGCTTTACAGTGGTGATAAAACGAGATAAAATAGAATGAAAAATATTTAAACAGCAACACAACATAATTCACACATTAAAAGCCAATCTGAAGAGGTGTGTTTTGGTCAGTGTTTTGAAAGTGGGGGGGTCGGTGCAGTCTCTGATGTTGTGGAAGGGAGTTCCAAAGGGTGGGGGCAGCACTGGGTTTCACTTTAAACAGTAAATGGTCTATGTGGGAGGGGGACTGAGTACCGGGGAGACTTTAATGGGGGGGGGGGGGTATATTACAGGTATTGAGAGGCTCGGCTCTCCACAGCCTCCCCCCACTCGGACTCATCCAGGCCTGTTGTTTCAGCAACAACTGGGCGAGTGATTCTCACCCAGATGACACACTTGTTTCATTCCATCTATTCTTTTGTCCTAACTCTCACACTCTGCCTTTGTCTGAAATTGCCCACAGAAAATGAGACTAATAACTCATTCTGGACAGCCCCGAGCAGCAGGCAATACTTAAGTCTTTATGCCATTACCCCTGGAGCTGCAATTTCAACAAATCCTCTAACTGCCCAATTGCAAGCTCCATATTCTGTCCATATCCTTGTAGTGTTAGAGCAGATGTGATGTGTAGTGTGTGCGTTTGTGTGTGGTATGTGTATGTGTATACATTAAGGATGTACATTTTCACAGGTTGTGAAGTGATTACTTCCAGGAACATATCATGCTTTTTTCCTCGATTCACAGGATTTCTTACACAAAGTTTGACTTTGAAAACAGAGCCACGGATAATTAACTATAAAATGAGCAGCAATTCCAATCTTAGAAGATGTTCTTTTTTTGAAGATGAAATAACACAATGCTAAGCATATAGAATGATATGTTCTTAAAGATCCCATGTGTTATGAAGGTTTTTCTGCATGTAAACGGTCTGCAGAGTCAAAAACCCTTAAAGTACACCCTGTAGGGAGTAAAACTCTAACACAGAAAAGACCTCCCCAAAACGCATCGTTGGAGATTTCTCATTTTCCATTGTTTACTTCCTGGGCACTGTGACGTGTGAATACCCAGAGGCCACACTCTCTGCCAGCCTTTCACGAAACAAAGCTTCACAAACCTTTCAGCGATTCATGCCGGATATGTACAGCGTAGGGCACTGAAGAACGATGCTGTTCCTACTTTGTTTGGACCAGCGGGAGATTCGGGTACACAACCTGTAAGTATTCATTGTTGTTTGTGTATTTATGATGTTTCAAACAAACAAGGTATCTACCACGACTGTTTAAATGGATAAACGTTTTTCGGACTACTACCTTGGGATCGCGGAGAAATGCTCTCTGCAGACCCATTCACACAGCGTTATAAACCTTTTTCTTACTCAATATCAAGTCACACTTATTGTTTTTACTTCGGCTGTGAGTGTTTGTGTGTGCTCAGGGTGAGTTTCGCTTGTTCTCGCTGTATCGCCGACACGGAAGCCTGTCTGCTCCTCGCAGCAGCTGCGAGCAGCAACGAGCCTCTCACGTCGCGACCAATCAGAGCACACTGGGCTCACTGGGAGGGGGGGGCAGGAGCTCCAACAAGTCGTTTAGGACAGAGAGTGAATACCGGTGAATACACATACTATACAGAGATGCTGTATGAGAAACCAATGTGAGTTTGGAAAATTGCACAGTATAAATCTATTTTAGTACACATCAACAATGGAATCAGTAGAAATGGCCATGACATGGGAGCTTTAAAAGTACTACGAATGGAGTTATCACTGTCAGATTCACAATGGACAGCTTTAAAAACGATTAAAATCACGGAGGTTTACATTTTGAGAGAAATACATCAAAAGTCCAAACGTGTGATGGATCAGAAGAAGATATTTTTTTAATTATCACAACAAACCAAAATAAGAGTGCTGGAAAAGCTTGTTGTCATAATCACAATTCCGTCAATACCTTCCCTTCTAGATTGTCACTCTGGGAAACTTGCAGATAAAACCTGCTTTTCCTAAACCCACCTTAGTGAAACCTACAGTACTAATGTTCATACTTTGTGTAATCTTAACACTTTCCTGAGTATAATGAATTGCTTTAAAAATGTTTTACATTTACATTTACATACAAACAATGCAAGTGATGGAATTGAATATATTTGGTTTGAATGGAATTTCTTCCAACAAACTATCGTCCGTGAACAATTTTCATATTTTTTACAATCTGCGTTTGGAAAAACTGCCACAGACTGCTGCCCTGTGTATTTCAGTCGCTGTTACCTGGTTGGTTTCACAAGGAATGTATCCTTAGATCGTTATGAGGCCTGGCATTTCTTGTAAGTTTCACTGTAGTATCACTTTAAGCCCTATTCACCTCCATGCACGATTAAAAATCTAAATCTGGCAAATCTCACACAGCTAATGATGATAACCCTCTCTTGTTTTCTAAACAGCCGTTGGATAAAAGCCAAGTTTCAGATGGGCACCTGGTCATTAGTAATCAACTGTGATTGACCCAAAGCAGCATCAGGTCTCTGAAGGTTGATTTTGAGCAAGTGACATGAGGAGGATGCATTCAAAGTATTTTACACTTTGACTTTTCAAAAACATAATTAAAGATGATGTGTGGGGGGATTTACTCACCGTGGATGGGGTTGTGTCCCACGGTCAAGGGGATGGGCCTCTCAGGTTGGGATTGGACACGTGTCTGTGTGTGTGTAGTGTGTGTGTGGTAGTATTTGGGCTTTATAACATACTGCTGGCTTTGACCTGGGTGCATGGGGATGGGCCGGATCCTGGAGGAGAAAAAGAACATCATGAGTCGTCAGAACAAAACATATATAATCTAAATTTAACAGCAACAAAAACCTCTTGAAAAAATAACAAAATGACAAAAACAAATACACACATTAAATCATTCCGGTATTCCAGAAGCCAGGAACAAGCCTTGAACATCGTTCAGTATCTATACAGAACTATCAGGACTTTATGGATAAGTTGACCAAAAGAGCAATCAGCCAGAAACCTGATGTATTACACTAGCTGTTTGTCCTTTGACAATGCTTTAAGCCCGCGTCACACTGTCCCGAAATTGACACCAGATGGACACACGAATATGGAATTGTGAATTTCGCACGAAGATAGCCCCGAACCACACGAAGGCATACAAACAACATACAACTGCAACGAAAGTAACAAAAACAATTATGTTAAAGTACTATGATACTGTACTGATATTTTCAGACTTTGTTCTTTACTTTATCCGTCTTTATATGTAGAAGATATTAAGTTTTCTCCGTCATGTTGTTTCCGTACCGTAGCAACAACAACTTCCTGTCAACTGTCCTTCAAAATAAAATGATCTAAATAAAACAGGAAGTTAACCTAAATTACATTTAAGACATACAACTGCAACGAAAGTAACACAAACAATGTAATATCCTTTTCAGTTTCACAGAACACAAATTGGGTTATTTACATCATATGTTTACATGATTTTGTTGTGCAATAAAACAACCCGATGGACACACGATAAAGGAAATGTTCAAATCGGGCCATTCGTGAGGACATCTTAAGCCATCGTATTACCACCGGCGGAGTTTCTCAGGCTCCGGCAGCAACTTCGCGAGCGGTGGCAAAATCTTTGGCATGCCAAGAAATTGCCGAAGGATCTTGCGAAGGCTCATTTTCGTGTTGAATTTGTGTGTCAATTTTGCCCTTCGTAATAGATACTTCGTGAGGGCATCTTGTCAAATCGTGTCATCTTCGTCTGATCATCAGTGCCATCGGGCATTTTTTGCCCCGATGATCAGACGAAGATGACACATTTCCTCTATCGTGTGTCCATCTGGTGTCAATTTCGGGACAGTGTGAAAGGGGCTTAAAGGATTTAACCTAGCAATCAGTGCAGCAGCCTCTTCCTGCACTATTCCATTCACAGTGGATTCACTCTTTGGAGTCTGAGATCCTAGCCAGCAGGAGTACGTTCATTGTTAATGATTTGTTTTTTTAATACGAGTTTTTAAATTAAAGACATACTGTATATACTCAGGATCTGAAATGATTGCAATGTCCTTGGATCAGTACTCTGAAATCACTTCCTCATGTTCTCAAATTCTTGTAGTTCTTCAAGACCATCAAACCTCCACTTCCTTTCACCACCCTTCCTAATAGCCGGGGCCTCCACCAGACTACTGGGCTCCAAACCTCACCAACATCTTCAATGATATTCTGAAAACCGCACAACAGACACAGACATTTCGGAAAATGTGTTGTCCAAGTATTGTGCAACATGCAGGGCAGACATGCATCAACCTGACAGTACTTACAAATAAAGATAGTGCGCCAAACACACAAAGAACATTTAAAAAGTCCTGAAGACGCTCCACATCAAGTCTCTAAACACATATCTTATGGTACACTAACCCTTGAATGGTTTCTGTATCCTGGGGGAAAGAGTCATTTGACAGGCTGTGTCCATGTGTAATATGGGGGTAATATTGGTGTTACATGGGTGTAATATGTGTCACAGACACATATCTCCTGTCTAATGTCCACTCGTAAGATTGATGAAATAATACTCTAAGGCTAACCCGGTAACTGGAAATCCGAACGGTTAGGTCCCCTTTTACAGAGACCTGGCTCGGGGATTCCTTATCGAGCTATGGCCCCTGGCAGGTGAACCAAAGCCCAGAGTGCAGGATGAGACTTGAGGAGACGGACCCAGCAATAACTCTTACTGCTCAAACGTCAAAGTTGATGGACAATCTCTCCAGAACGTAACATTTTATTGAAGCAAAATGTCTTCATCATTCACCATCACTCCTAATGGAAATTCAAGAAGCACCCCCCCCCCGCCCCTAGTTGTTTGCCTCCGCCAACCTATCAAATCGCAGTTCAGATGCAAGTATCTCCAAAATGTAACTTTGTCTTCAACAGCAGCTGTGCTGGTAATGTTTTCCCCTTGTGCAACTGTGTGAGTCATACTCTCAAAAGATGCAGTCACAAATCTCTCCAGGTGTATAGTTGAGACCCAAATGGAGGTTGGTTTGGGGGTGGCAGTGGTCCGAGCAAGGGGGGAGGAACTGTGGGCTGCCTCTTTGCAAAATGGTCTTTTGTGTTATCTTATTTTACCTAAAGAACCAGTGACCTTCATGTTTGACCTTTGACCACCAAACTCTAATCTGTTCATTCTTGATTTTTTAAAATGTTGGTTCCAAATTTAAAGAAAAGCATTGAAGCATTCCTCAAATATGGCATATTCATGAGAATGTTATGCAACCTTTACCTGCAGAATGCCAACAAAATCCATTAGCTAAAAATGTTAAAATGAATTGTGATCAATATATGGAATAGGAAACTGTCTTTTTTTAAATGTAAATGTGCACCAGGAATAAAGATGCGTAACTCATTTTGAGGAAACTTTGCAGGTCCACCAACACAGTCAGAGTCAGAGACGACTGTCAACAGTTAAAGTTTGACGTATTTCCAGATGGGATGTTTGTGTATTATTTATATGTGCGAAGCAAAAATAGTAAATGTATTTGATCCCCATAATTGTGGCACTGCCTTGTAGTATAAGCAAAAGTCAGAATGAGTTTACAGTGTGCATGTATGTGAGCTCATCTGTGTTTGGTCAGCTGTCAGTGATCAGAACTGCCAGGCATTCTCTACATCCTCTTTTATTAAAAGTTAATATGTTAATTCCTGCAGTCTGTTTATACATATACTGGGTTTGCATGCTTTATATTTGCCTTTCGGTCAGATCAACTTTACACAGCCTTGTTTACTGCAGACTGAATGGCAGAGCATCACTCAGCCAAATTGGCGATGTGCTCTGAATTTCCATCATGCAGTCTGACATTAGTGGAGATAAGCAGCTTATCTCAACTCAGTTACAGAGATCAATTCCTCACCAACAGTAAGAGGGCAATGATGTTGACATGAATGCATGGGATCTTTGGTGTTTGAAAATGAAAATAATCACTGCATGTTGTCCCCAAGCATCCACCCATCAAGCAAATAAGGGGAAACTGGTTGTGAGTCCCTGAGAACCATCAGGAACAAGTCAGGCGAGGAGGAAATAATGAAGTCCTGCTGGATCAGGGTAAGATCCTGTTCTGTGGCCACAGATATCATTCTGTGGGTCCTTACGTGTTCTACCAGAGTGGATCCAAGCAGACTTGCTTTAACCCTCCTATTGTCTTCGTTTCCCCCCCCCTTACTTTGCAGTGGCGTTTTCTCCCGGAGGCCAAGGGAAGCCAGGCTTCCCCTGTTTTTTCGGATTGTAGTTATTATTTAAATAAATAAATAAAAACACTTTGTTTTGTTTAGATAATTCTCCTTTGCTGTGTGTTGCTGCCGGCCCGTCTCTCCCCCATTCTCATTGAGTATTTTACAAAGAGTGAAACAAACAGCGCCCCTCTAAATGTCATGGTGAAACAGTAGATTGCACTCACTGTTGCGAGAGGAGGCCAGCCGAATCTGGCTTCCCTTGGTGAAAAAAAATGGAGGGATTGACCAATCAGATGAGGCTCACGTGATGCCCCTGACAACCTGTGATTGGTCAGGGCCATGCCAAGGGAAGCCAGAGGCGGCTGGCTTCCCTTGCCTCACAATCCAATCAAATCGCATCAATTTAGTGTGGCAGTGACGCCTCCTAAAACCCGGAAGTAAGCTGCGCTCGGTTTCCCTCGACAAAAAAGCAATGGGATTTCTCCATAGGATTTAGGAAAATAGCTCGAAATAAGGTCAGTGGAAAACGAACCTGTTAGATAAATGCAAGTTTTGTTCAGTCGGATAATATCCACATGTCTACCCTGCTTTTATAATTTTCGAATCATAAATCTAATCGATAGAAGATAGATAGCGTCACTGCATCACTCTCACCACCGTTAGAAAGTAGCAAGCAACTGAAGCAAGTGCAATTATGGAGGGTGGAGATTTGGAGTATTTCATCAAAAATAATTGTACTAAACTTCCGCTACAGCAGCAACAACAAATACAATCTGATGACAGGCCGATGCCCAAACTGGAGCTGTGTACAGCGAGGAAAAAACGAGCGAATCGGACGTAAAACGTCAAAGGTCTCCTGATTTAGTTTGTGAATGAATGCTTATTAGAGTTTGGGCTGGAGAGTGCGTGCGGACCTGTCGGTTAGATAACAGGCGTGTGTAAGTCCTGCATCTGATACAAATGTGTGTAAAATGATACCGGGTGCTGTAATCACTCATCTGGTTACGTTATTACATTGACCACCACACCCCCGACCCAAAAGAAAGGACGTATTATTGGCTTCCCCTAATTTTTTATCCGGATGGTTACTAATTCCTTTTCTTTATGGCGGTCATTTTTGACCGGGAACACCATAGGTGTTACAAAGTTGACTAAATCATTCAAAATTCAATGAAAGTGGTGATCAGCTATTTTATATGCTCAAAGGTCTACTGTGAAGGATATCATAAAGCCTTAATGCAATCGAATCTAAACAAAAAAGTTATGATTGATGAAAGTAGTAAATCGGTCAGATTTTACCCGAAGACAACAGTTAATAGACCTTCCTTTGTTTTGGTCTTTTAAGTTCGACTGTATTTTGGATCAGACTTAATTACCCTCAGGTCTATTTCAAGCCTTATAGTTATTCTTTTTGGATGGGCCTCTTAAGGGCTCTATCCCGATTAAGTGTTTAGCCACGATAGCCACAAGGCTCTGGTGATGGCAATGTCTGTAGGTTAGTTGGTCAACCACTTCAGACTAAAATATCTGCGCAAATATTGGAAGAATTGCCATGTTATTA